TAGTAAGTACTTTAAATATACATAGAACCTTGTTGTAAAGTTATGTAGACTGTATCTATGTAATAAATAGTAAGTACTTTAAATATATATAGCACCTTGTTGTAAAGTTATGTAGACCATATCTATGTAATAAGTAGTAAGTACTTTAAATATATATAGAACCTTGTTGTAAAGTTATGTAGACCGTATCTATGTAATAAGTAGTAAATACTTTAAATATATATAGAACCTTGTTGTAAAGTTATGTAGACCATATCTATGTAATAAGTGGTAAGTACTTTAAATTTACATAGAACCTTGTTGTAAAGTTATGTAGACCGTATCTATGCATTAATTTCCAATCTCTTGATGAACCATGAGTATGATCTCGCATTGTGCTTAGTCCAATATCATACTCAGTCTAGAATAAAAATCTTATTTTTTAATCATGAATAAAAGTAATATTAAATAATAAGTTGATGCAAGTATTCTGTCAAATACATTGAGAAAAACGGCTGAGTTCTTATGATAAAGTAGGGTTGTTTTCTGTTAAGTTTATTGAGTGAAAAACATGAAGCTTTAAATAATTTTCTACAACAACAACAGTAATAAAAGTTTGGGCAATGTTCTACAATTTTACAGTTTTTTTTACTTTACTGAAAAAAAACTTTTTGAGAAAACACGAAGTTATTCTGCAAGAATTTTTAAAATTGTAATAAGCTTTTGTATTTTTTTTGTAAACAAAAGTTATACTGTTTTGATCTCATTAATCCTGAAATCTTGATTTATTTTAAATAACTTTTTTTTAACCAAGTTTTTTGAATTACCTAATTGAAAAATTGAACAGAGCAAATATTTACAAAATCCACATAATGTACAAGCTATTTTTAATTCCAAATAGAGGAATCAAGTGTAGTGTATTTTTATAAAGGTACTTCGACAGAGGCCCTATTCTAGTGGTATTTAGATATGCTATGAAAAAATACTCACGCACCACTGCCTCTTCAGTAAAAGTAAATTCAACCTATATTAAGCATAAAATCTGACCGCGTCAACCTTGTTGCACCGGCTAGTCCTGTCCATAGAGGTAGGTACAGTACAAACTGGGACCGGAAAAGTTGGCCCGGCTCGGAAATTCAAATATACAACGGCTGCCTGTGTACCGACCAGAAAAAGACAACCTTCCATGTCCATTTTAAAATTTATGATTTATTCATATAAATTCTTTTGCAACCTGATCAATTGTTAGCTTGCCCGAAACAGTTCCAAATTGTTCATAATGATTTTGATGTGCAGCCCTAGAAAAAAAGTAAATTCATAAAACATCTTACACAAATATAAATATTAAAATTGATACCGTAGTTTTTGAAAGTATGCTGCAGACCATGGTTCTCTAGCCATAGCTCGTGAGATAACCATTGGCTCCATATCAGAATCAAAATCAAAATATTCAAGGTCGGATGTGTAAACAGCATCTAAGTTCACTCTGTGGTAGGTTGGGATATCTACATCTAGGAAAATTAGAACAAAAAAATTTGCAAAAACAAATTGAGTTGAAACTTTGGTTTAAGGGGATTGAAAAGTGGTCAATTTGGTGTTGTTATTTTTTATACATATGTTTAATTCTGCTGTTGCTTTTGTTGTAGTTATGGTTGTTTTGCTTTTGTTGTTGTTGCTGTTGTTCCTGTTGTTGTAATTGTTGATGTTGTGCTTTTTTATATTTCAAAAATGGTGTTGTTGTTGTTGTTATTATTTTATTCGTGTTATGGTTGTAATTATTATTGTTGCTGCTATTCTTTTCTTTTTCTTGAGTAGCGTTTTTTTGTGTAGTGGTATTTTGTTGTTGTTGTTGTTGTCATTGTTGTTGCTTTTGGTATTGTTGTTGTTGTTGTTGGTGGTGGTGGTGGTGATGATGGTAATAATGGTAATGATGGTGGCAATGGTGGTGGTGTTGTTGATGTTGTTGATTGTGGTAGTGTTTTTATTGTTGCTGTTGTTGTTGTAATTACTTGAATTTTCTGGTTGTCCTAGCACCATATCTCCATTATACCGAACTCTCCATTTCTTCATTGGTTCAATAGGCTCCAGATCTATCCCCTCCACTTTCCAACCCTTTTCTCCATTTTTCTAATTTAATCTTGGAATAGTCATTTTGTAAGAGTTTCGGGTCGTCTTTACATTCTTATCACTTACCATGGGTAACCCTGTAACATGGGTAGATATTTGAAACATCTTGCTATTCCTCTTTCATCATTGTATCAGGATACAGGATACCTGTATCTTGGTTGTATCAGGATGAAGGAAACATGCATCATGGCTGTATCAGGATACAGGATACCTGTATCATGGTTATATCAGGATACAGGATACCTGTTTCATGGCTGTATCAGGATGAAGGATACCTGTATCCTGATTGAATCAGGAAACAGGATACCTGTATTATGGTTGTATCAGGATACAGGATACCTGTATCATGGTTGTATCTGGATGCAGGATACCTGTAGCATGGTTGTATCAGGATGCAGGATACCTGTATCATAGTTGTATCAGGATGAAGGATACCTGCATCATGGTTGTATCAGGATACTGGATACCTGAATCATGGTTGTATCAGGATGTAGGATACCTGTATCATGGCTGTATCAGGATACAGGATACCTGTATCATGTTTCTATCAGAACGTAGGATACCTGTATCATGGTTTTATCAGGATACAGGATACCTGTATCATGGTTGTATCTGGATGAAGGATACCTGTATCATGGTTGTATCAGGATGAAGGATACCTGTTTCATGGTTGTATCAGGATACAGGATACCTGTATCATGGCTGTATCAGGATACAGGATACCTGCATCATGGTTGTATCAGGATGAAGAAGATGATGCAGGATACCTCTATCATGGTCGTATCTGGATGAAGGGGATGATGGAGGATACCTGTATCATGGTTGTATCTGGATGAAGGGGATGATGGAGGATTCCTACTCCCGGCACCTTCACAACACAGATACATTGGACAACTCCATCTGATCGAAATTTAATTAAAAGTTAATTTAAAACTTTTTTTTTGATTCTTCTGTTTTCAGAAACATTTCGCCTTCATGTGATGTGATACAAATTCAAAAAAGGAAAAATAATGGGGCAAATGGATTTGAGTCTTTGCCACAAACTTAAATTTTAAATTACAATTTCTTTGCAACCTGATGGTTTAAACCTTTAATATTTCAAACTTCGATTATTTGATCGAACAGAATTCATAGCTTAAAATATCCAGAAATATCTATGGTCAATGAGATAGGGTTGCAAAGCTAAAGGGATTAGAAAATTAGAGTTTGTGGTAAACACTCAATTCCTTCAGATATCTTAAAAAAATTAACTAAATCTTTTAAACTGCGGTGGATAAATAAACATCTTACTTTGTCTCCTAGCATCAGAAAATATAAACATCTTACTTTGTCTCCTAGCGGCAGAAAATATAATCATCTTACTTTGTCTCCTAGCGGCAGAAAATATAAACATCTTACTTTGTCTCCTAGCGGCAGAAAATATAATCATCTTACTTTGTCTCCTAGCGGCAGAAAATATAAACATCTTACTTTGTCTCCTAGCGGCAGAAAATATAATCATCTTACTTTGTCTCCTAGCGGTGGAAAATATAAACATCTTACTTTGTCTCCTAGCGGCAGAAAATATAAACATCTTACTTTGTCTCCTGGTGGTGGAAAATATAAACATCTTACTTTGTCTCCTAGCAGCGGAAAATTTAAACATCTTACTTTGTCTCCTAGCGGCAGAAAGTACAAGGTATGTTCCATCCTTGGATCCTTAAAAAGAAATTTTGAAATTTTAAAAGTTTCTTTTTTTAAATATTAAGGATACCTCCACTGAAAAGCACTGCATCTATTGCCAGGGGACTTGACCCAAGATCCTAAAAAAAATGTCTCCAAAAAGAACAGTTTTACGTCATATCAAGTGGTTTTAAAAGACAGAAAATTAATGTGGGAGACAATTTTCAATTTTCCAAAATTGAAATGAAACAAATTTCAATCATTGTCTAGCTCAGCTGGTTTAAGAATCGTTTTCTTATGAACGCATAACAAAGTACCAATAACTTTAGCAGTAATGCAGATAAAGAGATCTGATGTGAATCGTTTACGGTTATGTTCATTATTAAATATAGGGTCACTTAAAAAGTAGCTGAAAGAAGCGTAATTTCATGCAAAGATTATAATTGCATAACATTTTTGTTCTTCTCAATATAGGAGTTATGATTGAAAACGAATAAGATTTCAATTTTCAGAGCAATTTAATTTAGTTAAACAAGTTTAACCTCAGATATGGTGATTAAAAACAAGTTTAACGTGAGATATGGTGATTTAAAACAAGTTTAACGTGAGATATAGCGATTTAAAACAAGTTTAACCTCAGATATGGCGATTTAAAACAAGTTTAGCGTGAGATATAGCGATTTAAAACAAGTTTAGCGTAATAAATAGCGATTTAAAACAAGTTTAACGTGAGATATAGCGATTTAAAACAAGTTTAACCTCAGATATGGCGATTTAAAACAAGTTTAGCGTGAGAAATAGCGATTTAAAACAAGTTTAGCGTAATAAATAGCGATTTAAAACAAGTTTAACATGGAATATAGCGATTTAAAACAAGTTTAACGTGAGATATGGCGATTTAAAACAAGTTAAAGGTGAGATATAGCGATTTAAAACAATTTTAACGTGAGATATGGCAATTTAAAACGAGTTTAAGGTGATAAATAGCGATTTAAAACAAGTTTAACGTGAGATATGGTGATTTAAAACAAGTTTAACGTGAGATATGGCGATTTAAAACAAGTTTAACCTCAGATATGGTGATTTAAAACAAGTTTAACGTGAGATATGGTGATATAAAACAAGTTTAATCTCATATATGGCGATTTAAAACAAGTTTAACATGAGATATGGCGATTTAAAACAAGTTTAACCTCAGATATGGTGATTTAAAACAAGTTTAACCTCAGATATGGCGATTTAAAACATGTTCAACGTGAGATATAGCGATTTAAAACAAGCTTTAAGTGAGATATGGCGATTTTAAACAAGTTTAACGTGAGATATAGTGATTTAAAACAAGTTTAACATGGGATATAGCGATTTAAAACAAGTTTAACATGAGATATGGCGATTTAAAACAAGTTTAACGTGAGATATGGTGATTTAAATCAAGTTTAACTTGAAATATGGAGATTTAAAAAAAGTTTAACGTAATATGGCAATTTAAAACAAGTTCAACGTGAGAAATGGTGATTAAAAACAAGTTTAACGTAGGATACGGCGATTTAGAACAAGCCGAACGTGATATATTGCGATTTAAAACAAGTGTAACGTGATTTATGGCGATTTAGAAAAATTTTAGCCTGATATATGTCGATTTAAAACAAGTGTAACGTAATATATGGCGATTTAAAACAAGTTTAACATGAGATACGGCGATTTAAAACAAGTTTAACGTGAGATTTAAAACAAGTTTCACGTGAGATTTAAAACAAGTTTCACGTGAGATTTAAAACAAGTTTCACGTGAGATTTAAAAAAAGTTTAACGTGAGATTTAAAACAAGTTTCACGTGAGATATAAAACAAGTTTAACGTGAGATTTAAAACAAGTTTAACGTGAGATTTAAAACAAGTTTCACGTGAGATTTAAAACAAGTTTAACGCGAGATTTAAAACTAGTTTAACGTGAGATTTGAAACAAGTTTCACGTGAGATTTAAAACAAGTTTCACGTGAGATTTAAAACAAGTTTCACGTGAGATTTAAAACAAGTATCACGTGAGATTTAAAACAAGTTTAACGTGAGATTTAAAACAAGTTTAACGTGAGATTTAAAACAAGTTTAACGTGAGATTTAAAACAAGTTTCACGTGAGATTTAAAACAAGTTTAACGTGAGATTTAAAACAAGTTTAACGTGAGATTTAAAACAAGTTTCACGTGAGATTTAAAACAAGTTTCACGTGAGATTTAAAACAAGTTTCAGGTGAGATTTAAAACAAGTTTAACGTGAGATTTAAGACAAGTTTAACGTGAGATTTAAAACAAGTTTCACGTGAGATTAAAAACAAGTTTAACGTGAGATTTAAAACAAGTATAACGCTTCTGCAAACATGACTTTGAATAAAATCTGTTTTGCAAGTCTTTAAACAATCCTTCATTGTGATTATTCAAAAAAAAAACTAAAAAAATTGCGTTTTCTGTCTGTCTGTTTGTTTGTTTGTGGCTTGTAATTGCATAAAACGGATAAACAGATCTAGGGCCCAAGATTTTATGCATGACCTCGCTACGTGAGATTTAAAACAAGTTTAACGTGAGATTTAAAACAAGTTTAACGTGAGATTTAAAACAAGTTTAACGTGAGATTTAAAACAAGTTTAACGCTTCTGCAAAACATGACTTTGAATAAAATCTGTTTTGCAAGTCTTTCAACAATCCTTTATTGTGATTATTCATAAAAAAAACAAGTACAATTGCGTTGTCTGTCTGTCTGTTTGTTTGTTTGTGGCTTGTAATTGCATAAAACGGATAAACAGATCTAGGGCCCAAGATTTTATGCATGACCTCGCAAAATTCCAAATTTAGGAATATCAGTGTTAAAGGGACTGCTAAGGAAAAATTAAAGGGGGTATAGGATGAAACCTAAGAATCTCAGGAGTAGAACGATCTACCTATAAGTCATCCCTCTGATGTTTCTGTCTCGAGAAATTGATATAAAACTGTGTCAAATGTATACGAAAATTCATATTAATGCAAGTTTGTATAAAAGTTGTAGTATTAAACAGATCATATTCAACAAATACGCAACCAGTCTTAAAGCCTCAGAATCTCCTTAGCTTAGGAATATCAGTGCTAGGTATCCCTTCAAAATAAATTATTTTTCCATAAAGGAATTGAGTCTCAAGCTCTGATTTTCTAAATCTTATATCTTTGCAAACCAAAAGCGCAACCCTTACACTTTTCAAACAATAAATTCTATTCGATCAAATAATCAAAGTTTGAAATTTCAAAGCTTTCCTTTCGTGTCGAATTTATAATGTACGAAGAAAAAATGAAATAATATAATACAATCAGAAAGAGAGGCGCGAAGCGCCACGAAAGCCTTTAATTTCTTAAGATGCTTTATACCTGAATTTGATTAACAAGTACATGATCAATTGTTTAAGTGGACTAAGAAATCCCGGCTGCATGTAAACACCTATTTTCTCCGGAGTAGAGAAAAATACCTAAAAGCATGTTTATTTGATACAAAAATGATGATAATCAATGGGCGCAACTAGGGGGGGGGGGCGCTATCCCTTTTTTTATCAGCAACCACTAAAAATTGCTAAAACGTAAATTTACCAGGCAAAAAAAGAGTTTATAAAACAGTGTTAGAAAATAGAAAGACGACCTTGAATAGAAAGTACATTTAAATATAGTTTTCATCTATATAGTAAAGCTCTTTGCTCATATATTTATATATTTGTACCTATATAAAATATATGTTAGCTATAGCTAATGCTGGACATTTCTTAGGGAACGCATGGGTACCCTAGGGGTAGCATAGGCTAAAAAAATCGAATATTTTTTTCTTCAAAAATCTAATTTTTTTATTCAAGTTTTTTATTTAACGGGCAACGCCGTGCATTTTAGCTAGTATAAAAATAAAGCTTTTAGCAAACTATGTAGTCTGACAAATTCTGTTCATAACTTTTAAACAGAAATTGTTGAGGGTGATCATTTTTGAATAGGCGACATTTTTAAAACAGTTCTACTTTTAATTCTTTTCTCAACCCTTGGAACTCTTTTTTGAGAAACTCAATTTGACACTTTTGAATGAAGGAAATGGAAACTTTTTAAGGAAAAAACGGATTTAATTTACAAGTTCAATTTTTTTAAATCAATTTGAATATGTTCCTTTTCTTCAGAGCATTTTCTTTAAATTAGGAAAATTATGGTTTACCTTGGAAACTAAATATATCAAACCAATCCCACAAATGGTTAAAATATACATTTTTGTCTGAAAATAAATTTGTGAAACTTGTTTTTTAATTAATCATAATAGAATTTTTTTTTTTTTGAATAAAACCTTTAAAAAGTTGAATATTTATTTTAGAATTTATTTTGAATTTTCTGTTATTTAAGCTCCGAATATTCAAACTCCGAATATTCACCCTCCATGGATTGCACATGTGTTCGTGAATAAATATTCTCAGTTATAGATTTTGTACAAACTGTGAAAGAATAGAAGTATTCTCAGATAGAATAATCTTAACAAGGGAAGGGCAAATTTACTCTTTTTAAAATTTTAATTTTTTATGGAAATTTGTTTTATATACATTTTATATCAGGTTTACAGAGGATACATAGAAATTTCACTAGATGGCTCGCACCTCTGCCCTTTCAGTAAAAGTAAATTCATCCTATAAAGTATAAATTCAGACCGCGTCAAACTTGTTGCACTGGCTAGTCCTGTCCTTAGAGCTAGGTACAGTACAAACTGAGAGCGGAAAGGTTGACCCAGCTCGGAAATTCAAGTGTATCACGGCTGCCCGTGATAGGGATCATTCATTTGGCATACCGTCCAGTTTTGCTTTTCATATTCTGTATTTGTACTGTACAGCTAGTTTCAGGGGTCAGCAATTTAGTTTCAGGGGTTAGCAATTTAGTTTCAGGGGTCAGCAATTTAGTTTCAGGGGTCAGCAATTTTCGAAATGTTTTGAATTTCTAATTTTTAAGCTCGAGTAAGTCATCCAAAAACTAGAGAAGCTGCAAAGTAACAAAGTCGTACAAGTAACTTTTTCAGTATTTCGACTCTGAGCCCCTCCCGACACTCCAACTTTTTATCGAAGTCATGAAAAGGACGTTAAAGGAGGTTAAAGGACGTCAATGGAAGCTAAAGGACGTTAAAGGACGTTAATGGACGCTACAGGACATTAAAGGACTATAAAGGACGTTAAAGGACACGTTTCTTAAAAAACATTTTTTACACTTCTCCTCTCTTGGAAATTGTCATATTAGGAAATTTTCCTACCCCAAATTTTTCCTGCCCACAGTTTTTCCGAAACTAACCTGTCACCCTGTAGAGTTTTCTAGAAAATATTAATTTCTAGAAAGAGACCAATGCCCAGCCCTAATACAGATTACTTTATCTTATCTCCAATTTTATAATCAAAGTTCAGGTGTGTAAACTTTATTTATTTATCAAATTTTGAGAAAAGTAAAGATAATTAAAAATCTTTTTCAGAAAATACAGACATTTTAAACAAGCAGAACGTTTTTGCTGTGTTTTACTGTTATATTTCAAATTGTGCATACATTTATAAAAATATCATTTTTATTGGATTTACATTTTTTCAAAAAAAATTAACAAAAATTTACACCCCTGATCCTTTTCCCTTGTAGTAGAGACATTTAAATACTCTATTTAGAGCTTTTTTTCAATTTTAATATTTATCATTAAGAATTAATTTCAACCCAAAAGTACAACAATCTTTTGTATCAATAATTACACGCTCATATGTGTTATCCAAATGTTTTTTATTAGAAAATAGCATTCTCATTTCTCATTTGCCACTGAATTGCAGAACCTTGCAGCGTTTTAAACAGGATTATAATGAGTGAGAATTGGAAATTGAAAACCCAGCTTTGCCTGAAATCTTAACTTTCTCTATAGATTAACCTACTCAAGTTAGAACTTTAAAATACTTAAAAGTTTATAAGCTAAGAACATTCCCATGGTTCTACCGAGTTCCCTAACCTAAATTTGAGACAAAATTGGTTCATGAGTTGAGATCGGACATACACACACCCTTACAGACAGATTAACACTTTATTTAGACGCATCTTGCTCCAGTTAAACCATTAAAGCAATCCTTGTTTGAATACAAAGAGCATTCAGATGTTTTGTACGTGCCATTTGATTGTTTAAAAATCAATAAACAATATGAAAAATTACGAAGAGGTTTTTTACATATAGAATCCAGCTAATTTAAAAAACTTATCAATACAAGTCCAGATTAAACAGCAGTTGTTACATATAGAATCCAGCTAATCTAAAAGGCTTATCAATACAAGTCTAGATTAAACTGCAGTTTTTACATATAGAATCCAGCTAATCTAAAAAACTTATCAATACAAGTCCAGATTAAACAGCAGTTTTTACATATAGAATCCAGCTAATTTAAAAAACTTATCAATACAAGTCCAGATTAAACAGCAGTTTTTACATATAGAATCCAGATAATCTAAAAAACTTATCAATACAAGTCTAGATCAAACAGCAGTTTTTTACAAAGAAATAATATCATTTACTGTAACAAAAAAGGAAATTCGGAAATTAGTAATAAACCCTTCACCAAAAAGTACCTTCACGCTTTCTGCATTTTTAAAATATCTTTAGTCGTATTTTGAGATCTTCGTCGAAATCCGTTAAAAGTTGCGTAATTGACGAAAAATAATTGAATATTTAAAATGCATAGCTTAACAATAAAGTACAAAAGAGCAAGTACGCCAAATCTACTATTAATGGGTAAAAATTGGGTTGTAAAGTAAGGATATCACAGGATCTCTAGTTTTCCGAAGAGAGCAAAGTTTTTGAGAAAGAACAAAACTTTTCGTGAAAGATGATGTTGTTCAGAAAAAGGGAAAAACAATTGCTCTATTTTAAGCAAACGAACAAATCGAAAAATTAACGATTTAAAATCGTTTGAACGAATTTGAATTACGATCGTTTTTTAAATGTTGTAAAATAAAAATAAAATTTAAGAATTATCATCAAGGTGTTTAGTTTATCGCTTTATACTATTGATATATGGAAGATAAATTAGAATATTTCGTTAAGATAAGAACACGTAGTTAGCTGATACCAGGATAACTTACAGGTTAAAAAAATATATTCCAAAGGGACTGTACGCCATTTTTAAATAAGGCCTATGCTTGGAGAAGAGCCAATAAGGTGTGATAGAGTTTAATGCTCATTTTTACTTCTACTTTATATTTTTCCCCAAGTCCAAGTTATCCTAAAAATCCAGGAATAGCTAGTATATTTAGTTGCATATTGGAGACTCTAAACTGCTCTGTTTGGTTTTTAAAAGCTTTTCAAAAAAAATAATACCATGGTTAAAAACACGTATTGAAATTGGTTAGCCATGCAATTTTAAAGAAATCGAATTCGCTCTCTACATTCAATTGAATCAATTATTAGTTTACAGACACTTTTCTGGCGTAAAAGAAAAGGTCAAAATAAATTGGGTAACATGCTGAAGATTGTTAGAGGTTCCAAACAATCAGTTATATTAAACATTATCTAAAATATCTCAGGTAAAAATGTTCCAATTCCCAGAGCCTGAAATATAAGCGAGTGTCTTTAAATAAAAACTAGAATTTCCTTTTCTTGGGGTCTAAATATTTTTGTGTAGAATTTGACTTAGAAAATTAGAAACCAAATATGGGAATAAAACGAATCCAAATGGAATAGTATAAGTTCGTAACAAAAATATTAGTAGCTAAAAAATTGCCTTTTTCATGACGTTACCCTGTTTAAAGTTACTACGCTTTTAGGGCGCTTCGCGCCCATCTTCTATCTTAACTTTTAATTGTGGCTTTATCTGTGAGCATCTTCTCTTTGTACAGTATAAAACAAAGACAAACAAAGTTTGCGGATTTCATAATATTTGTTCGCGTATTTTCAAAATAAAAAAAGATTTAAAACACATTTTTTTTTTTTTTTGATCATTCATAAACCTTTCCTGGGGTCACGTTAGGTCCCACACAAAATTTGGACCCGATCGGTTCAGCCGTTTTGACGTTTATTGTACACAAACAAACAGACAGACAAGCTAAAATATATAAAAGGACTCAGTTGGTGCTTGAACAGTGAACAGTGAACACCCCTGAGCTAAGAGGAGAAGGTTTGCACTTCAAAATTGGTTCTTCAATCCTTGTCATGATGATAACCTAACCAATAACCATGGAATAGTACGCAGGAGATTAGAGAGTTTTGCGGGGGAGAGGAGGGAGAGTGGCCACCATGAGCCCCGCTGCATGCAGTTTCCAAACCACAAAATTAGCATAATGAAATCCAAGCAGGGGCGTAAGGTTTGGGGGGCCTGGAACCCTGTGTACCCCCTAGACATGCCCCCCCCTGAGCATCTCCTGGCCCTTAGACTTAAAATTTTAATCATACATATATAATTATATCTTTGTTTCTTATCAACTGACAGTTTGTCTATGTTTAAATAATTTCTCAAATTCTTTTAATCGACATTAATCTTGTTTAATACATTTTTTAATGGGGTTGAACAACGACTGTTAAGGGGTGAACCAAAAAAATCGGCGCTCTTTCGCGCCCTGAAGATTTAACTCATAGATTTCAAAACAGAAAAAGAACATCTTCATAAAACTTCATAAAGTTTACAGATCCCTTTATCAGACATTGAAAGATAGAAGTTGATAAAAATACATAAATGAAATAGATAAAATAGATATATTTAGTGATGTTAACGCTTGCCCTGATCCTGCTCTGTGCAGGACTTTCTTCTTCAAGAAATTTAATAAAAGGTAAATTCTTCATTACAAAAGTTTGTTTTTTTCAAGTTTTATAATTTTGTAAATCACTACACAAATATGTATTATATATATTATGTTATTATATAAGTATCCAAGGAAAAACATTAAATAAAAATTTACAAATTCGACGGGCAACCGTAAGATTTTGTTCGTTGATTTTCAAATCAAAATTCAGATTAAATTATCCCAGAAAATGAATAGTTTATGACACAACATTTCTAGATATTTATTTATATTATAGATTACGTACTTTGATTGTAGAGGGTGTCCCACGAAACATTACATTTGGTCAATAGTTCAAAATGTCTTCTTCCATAATTTGTTAAGATGAATGATACCAAAGAGAATAATAAAAATATTATATAGCTATCATCTCTGTTTGTCTGGTTGTTTGTCCGATCATAAATCACTAACCCCTGCTGGACCGATTTCTTTCCAAATTTTATTGAGAAACTCAGGAGACCCAAAGGAATGTTCGTAGCTTGGTTTTGAAATTCTAAGTTGAGTGGGTCGATTTTAATAGCGAAATTTTAGTTTCCCGGTAAAATCGTTCAAGCTAGTTTGATAATAAAATTTATTTCAAAGTAAAATATTTTTGATTTAAACATCTTTTTTAAACTGTAAAAGTCTTTAACATCTAATACAGTTTATGGAAGAAGACATTCATAATTATTCACCAACTGCCATGTTTCCTGGGACACCCACTGTCCTGTCTATTGTAGATTCCGGTCGGGAATATGAGTGGGAAATGGCTGAAGTTGATTCAAATCAAATCAGGTAAAAAATATTCTTCCATGATAATCCCAAGTATTAAATTCAATTGTGCAATGTGTCTCATAGTATGAAGCAATCATTTCGTTGTCTAACAAACTGTGAAGAAGTAAGAATCGTTTGAAATTAAAATTAAATTTCTATTTGATAGGGAATATTTGATAGAACTAAGTAAAGAACCTCACATGGCGGGGCTGGAAAGAGACAAGGTAAAAATATTAAACAATTTTTTAATTTATCGTTATGTTAGGCTGAATTGTTCTTAACTGAATTTAGAACAGTGTTTAAACAATTAATTCGAGTGTAAAATCTTAATGTTAAAACATCTTTATTAAAAAAAAACCTTTATTCTGATAAAAAATAATCTTTTGAAATTTAGTACAAAAGTTTAAATTACATTGTTATTAAGTGATTCAAATATTTTACTTTATATTTTATATTTTATCTCTATTTGCTTGCGCGAATATAAAGCTTTTAAAATGAATTTAATTCAAACGCAAGTTTCCTTAAAATCATTTTTTAAAAGTTTAAAAATATTTTTAAAAAAAAAGCTTACACAGTGAGACCCAAACAGCTGTGGAATAGGAAAACGACATTAGCATTTGATGTTGTTCACGGGCAGCCTTTGTATATTTGAATTTCCGAGCCGGGTAAACCTTTCCGGTCCCAGTTTGTACTGTATCACATGGACTCGCCTGGACATTGGCTAAATAAAACAGACACTCATAAGACTAGTCGATGCAAAAAGGTTGACGCGGTCAGACTATAGGTTGAATTTCTATTTCAAATCAAAACGTCTTACAGTCGTCTTCCTATTCCACATTTATCCTCTAATTCAATTTTACCCCTAGGAGTTGGCAGAATGGATGGCTGAAACCTGGAGATCTGCTGGAATAGATTCTGTATCAATTGAGAACTATAAAATCCTTCTCGATTATCCAAATTCTACAGATCCCAACCTTATCAGGAGTTTTATCAAATTACTAGCTGAAGTGCCCGGCGTTGTCCGTGGAATTTTGGAAAAAAATTGAATTATGAAAACAAATATTTTTATTTTTTTAGCCTATGCTATCCCCGGGGTACTCAAAAATTCAACCGTTTGGCCAGCTATAGCTAACACAAATATTTGAGCGAAGAGCTTTGTTATAAATTAAAACTTTTAGAAAAAAATTATGAACATTTTGTTAGAAATTATGATCATTCTGTTAGAAATTATGAACATTTTGTTAGAAGTTATGAACATTTTGTTAGAAATTATGAACAATTTGTTAGAAATTATGAACATTTTGTTAGAAATTATAAACAGATTGCATGAAATATCCAACATAATTAAAAAAATCCCTCACATTCTGTTAATTCAAAAAGTTCGTAGGTTTGTAAAGCTTTCGGAAATTGTTCGATATTGTGGGTTTCTTCTAACACTGCAGAAATTGGGCAGAATTTCTTTTTTAATACTTTGGCCTCCGACATTTATATAGTTTTGCCTCCAAAATGTAATTATTTTTTGCCTCCGACATTTAATAATTTTTGCCTCCAAAATTAATTGAATTTTGCCCCCGAAATTTAATCCCTTTTGGCTCCAAAATTTATTCGTTTTTTACTCCAAAACTAAATTATATTGCCTCCAAAACTTACTAATTTTTGCCTCCAAACTGTAATAATTTTTGCCTCCAAAACTCACTAATTATTATCCTTCAAAATTTTGTCAATTTCCCTCCAAAATTTAGAAAACTTCCATGGCAAGGAGAAATCTACGGTTAAAAAATATTTTTTGATAAAATACTAATGAAGGATTTACAACTCGAAAAATGAGGAAGTGTTCAGAAGTCATTTTAAAGAGGAAGGAGTAGATCATCCTAATTTTGTTCATGCATTTAATGCTTACTCAAAGTAAGATTTTTTTTATACTTTTGTTACTGCAATATCTTTAACATAAACGTTACAGCACGTTTGTTGTTTCGTAGTTTTTGGATCGCTTTTGGATCGTTTATGGATCGTTTATGCGTTTTTTAATATGTCTTCTGCCAGCGTCAAATTCGACATACTACAGGAAACTCAAAAACCTTTTTGTTACCTCTCCTTTCAACACGTATTTTGAAAGTACCCCCTGTAAAGGGACCGTACCCCTTGGAAAGGGACCGTACAAGCGTACAAGCGTGATTTCAAGTAACCCTCCGATCATATATATATTGTACACGGGCAGCTGTAGTACATTTGAATTTCTAAGCTGGGTCAACCTTTCCGGTCCCAGTTTGTACTGTATTGCCCGGACATTGGGTAAATAAAGCAGACACTCAATAGGACTAGCCGGTGAAACACGGTTGACGCGGTCAGGTATTAGGTGCGTGTTGTATACATTTACATTAATTAGAAATCATTCTAGGATTAAAATACTTATGCTTTATATTCATGGCTGCCAGTATCTCTAGAATGTATCCTTAACAGTATAACTTTAATCTATTAAAGGGACTGTAAGCGTAATTCCAAGTGACCCTCCATGCAAAGATGACAATGCCCGATTTAAAGCGTTTGCCTTTAGAGCTTTTGCTGATAAAGTATGAATTATATATATCAAAAGAATCAGTTTTGTTAATTAATATATATCAACTGGCCTAAATTCACCTCAATGTACAATACATCCTAGTGATGATTAACAAAACTGATTCTTTGGTTAGACATTGCATGATTTTCTTTATTTAAACTCTTTATTTTCATTTGTGGTTTCTCTGCAAATATCACTTGCGAATTTTTTGCAAAAAACAAAAATCGGAAAAGTTCACAAAACCACTTTTTAAGTCGTTATCTTTTACAATTTTGATCAGATTTAGGTTTCAAGGGTAGGGTTGTAAATCAGGCATTGATATCTCTGCCAGTAGGGCCACTTGACATTATACTTACTTACCCTTTAAGAAATGGTTGCGGATTGGTGGAGCAGTAACAATAAATAAAAACACATATTTATCTATTTTTAAGATAGAAAAATGATGATATTGTCATCCTTGATAAGTTATTCTTCAGACGAAGGTTCAGGAAATGTTTTATTTTTTTTTTTAAATGTAAGCATTGTTTTCTTCAGAAGCGGAACAGTGTCTGGTTTACCCTTGTATGTAAACTATGGAAGTGTTGATGATTTTCAACTTCTGAAAAATAATGGAACTGAGTTTAAAGGGAAAGTGTGTATCGCTAGATATGGAAAAGTTTTCAGGTATTTTTTATTCAATTAAATCGTGAATATATTTTATATTTATATTTATTATATATAGTTTAAAAAATGTCCAAAATGTTCAATAGTCTAGAGAAATAAACAAAAGAAGACGAAAAAATCTTTGAAAAAAAGCGCAAAGGAATTGAGTGTCGGATACAAATGTGATTTTCTAATCCCTATATCTTTGCCACCCAATGTCGGAGACCTTTGATATTTCAGATTATGAATTCTGTTAGATCAAATAATCTAAGTTTGAAATAACAAAGGTTTACATCATCAGGTTGCAACGATATAAGAATTAGAAGATTTGAATTTGTGTCAAAGACTCAATCCTTCAGGATTTATCATACATGTATGTAAAAGGTAATGAAAAATTTACTTGACAGAAATATATTTGTATATTTTTGGAAGAACTTTTCCTCTTTTCACTCCTGTATGCCAAGTCCATTAGCGCCTGATCCAATCAGGATTCAGTCATGTGTTTGTTGTCAATTATGAACCAATAGAAATAGAATGGCGGTAACATCTATCTTTCTATCTATCTCATTATCCAATTAGAGTTATGAATCCTTCAATCGGCGCTACCAGTAAATGGAAATATTTACTTCAACTGAAACTATAGCGTTTTGATACTATTTACCTGGAAAATTTAACTTCTCCTAAAAATCAGATGTTTCACCTAAATCAGAGTTTTTTTTTAAATAAATTGATAAGGGTTTGAAAAAACAAGAATATAATAATATCAAAAACAACTTGATCAAAAAATTAAAATTTGATCGTAGAAGTTAATGGTACGCGTCAGTTTTAAATGTTATTTACCAATTTAGCTGTTATTTTCAACTTACCTTTTCAACTTTTTCTATCTTTTTTTCCTCCTTTTTTCTCGCTCTTTTCCCTCCAATTTGATATTTGATTTGGGAATTGGGGTTTATCAATATGCAAATATAAATATATGCGTTTGCGAAGTATTCATAAAGATATGTGTTTTTTTTCGCAGAGGAAATATAGCTGATAACGCTGCAACCTTCGGATGCTCTGCTGCTGTTATATTTTCTGATCCTCAACAAGTGGCTGCTGAGGGGACAGATGAAGAACATGTAAGAAAACAGGGTGATCCAGGAAAAAACAGGGATTAGTGTTTTTTAAGCCCCAAGAGTTTTAGAAATGACTTGAAAAAGTGATTTATAGTATGAAGGGGCCGGTTATGTAAGATTTTGGTTATTGGAGTTATTGTCGAAAATTTTACCTACAAATAGAAGGATCAGACGACAAATAGAAGGATCAGACGACAAATAGAAGGATCAGACGACAAATAAAAGGATCAGACGACAAATAAAAGGATCAGACGACAATTAGAAGTATAAGACGACAAATAAAAGGATCAGACGACAAATAGAAGGATCATACGACAAATAGAAGGATCAGACGACAAATAAAAGGATCAGACGACAAATAAAAGGATCAGACGACAAATAGAGGGATCAGACGACAAATAGAAGGATCAGACGACAAATAGAAGGATCAGACGACAAATAGAAATATCAGACGACAAATAGAAGGATCAGAAAACAAATAAAAGGATCAAATGACAAATAGAATGATCAGACGACAAATAAAAGGATCAGACGACAAATAAAAGGATCAGACGGAAAATAAAAAGATCAGACGACGAATAAAAGGATCAGACGACAAATAGAAGGATCATACGACAAATAGAAATATCAGACGACAAATAGAAGGATCAGAAAACAAATAAAAGGATCAAACGACAAATAGAAGGATCAGACGACAAATAAAAGGATCAGACGACAAATAAAAGGATCAGACGACAAATAGAAGGATCAGACGACAAATAGAAGGATCAGACGACAAATAAAAGGATCGAACGACAAAAAATTAATTAAACTACCCCTTAATAAATTAGAAACTGTACACTATAAGGGAACAATTTCAAGTCTTTTTTAACGAATAAATGGGCTCAGAAACCCGAATCCCAGTTTGTTGGTCAAGTTGTAGTATTATGAAAATAACAAACATTTTAAACATCAGGTTGCAAACATTTAGAGGTTAGGAAATTAGAGTTTTTGTCGAGTAACACTTTTCCAACTGATTTAAAGATATTTCCATTTTTCATTAAATTGCTGATTTCAAAAGATTATCTTACAAATACTCCAATGATCCTATAAATACCTGGATTAGATTTTAACTTATTTTTTAAATATTCTTTTGACATTCACAATCAAATTATATTTTAAGGTTTATCCCAACGACTTCTGGATTCCAGGTATAAATATTTTAGTTTAAAAATAAAGTCAATTCTGAAGAGTTTGATTTGTTTAATTCTAAATCCTTATGCAAGGGACCGTCAATAAAATTAGAGTAACAGAGAAAAAGATCTTTTTTAAATTAAAAGTGTTAAATAGAACAAAAACATTTTTATCGTTCACATNGTTGTTTATGGATATTATTATATAAAAATGGTGTAAAGAGATATCCAATTAGAAAATTAATTTTCACCCTGCTTTGATGAGTTAAAAGAAACAGTGTTGTTAACTGTTAATTTTTGGCTGTATCTGTAAATTGGCTTAGATTTTTTGAGGGTGTTTTAATTCCACAGGCAAAGAAAAGAAAAAGATCCAGTAAAAATAATAAAAGGCTGAATAGATTTTCTACAGTCTTGAAAGGCTTATCCTTTTTGTTGGTAACCCTGTATCAAATTAATCTTAAAGCGAGTGTCTAGTTTTATATGTTAGTTTAGCTGAGAATGCAGTATTGTAGAGAAATATTTCAGAAATCATACGAGACCTATGAGATGTTTGTACAGTGTATAATTATTCAGAAAAAGGGAAAATTCAATTATTAAAATCCTTCTGGATTGTCCAACACGCCAGGCAGGTGTGCAGGGCCGGCCTAACGGCGCAGTAGGCGTGCTGCGCCAGTCAGGCGTACCGTACCCAGAATTGTATTCTCAACTACCATGTCTAGTCAGACACTCCCTTTAATAATATTGTGTTATCAGGAGTTCCTTCCTCGGATCCCAGTCCAGCCAATAGGATATAATGATGCTGAGCAGATACTTGCTCGTCTAGGAGGAGATGTAGCTCCGGCAGATTGGCAGGTCCCACACATCACGTTATATTCTGTCTGTACCAGTAGCAATTAGAAATTAACTTATTCAGCGAAATGAGTCTGCGTACACTGCACAATTCCTGTGTTTCACTGATGTTTCCAATTATAATTCGAATTTAAAAGTCGTCTTGATATTCAACCGTTTCAGTCTCACTGTACTTTCAGTCATATTTGAATCTTTAATTCAAGATCTTAATATAAGATATGAAATACTTAAATGTCAGTATAATAGCCCAAAGTTGTTTAATATTGTAAATAGCAAATACAAAAAATCTGTATTCAATGGGTAAACATATAGGTTACAAAGTTAAAGCTTTAACCAATTTCGACCAATTTTAACCAATTTCAAGCTACCCTCATGTACGGAGTGCCATATCCGATTCATAATAATAAACCGTTGTTTGATCAAGGATTAATGAGATATTCGAGCTGAAAATAATGTTTTTTTTCAATTATTGTTGATTCATTATCGGACTTGCGGATTCATGCTTGATAACAATGAACTAAATTGTAAGAATTTAATACTTGTCAAGGCAAAAATATTTTTGATATCTTCTACATTGTTACTTGGATAGATTAATTAAAATAACAGATATATGACACGAGATGTCGTCTTTTCAAGATAAAACTCGTTCACAATAACCAGCTGAGACACAAGCCCAGGGCCAGAGGAGTCTAGCGCAGTCGGCGTAGACAGGCTCTCTCTGTCTTGTAATTCTGTAAATCTTGTTATCTGTTCTTTTAATTAATCTATTGTTACTAGGATAAAGATGTGAAGCATTCTTGAATGTTTGAATTTTTTGTCACTGGTTCGATTACTTATATTTTGAAGAATTCAAAATTTTCTTATGATACGTAACTCTGCTTTAAAGGGAGTGACCGGCAATGTATGGTAGTTGAACTGAGAATGTAGTATTGTAGCGAAACTTTTTAGGATTCATTTGGGACAAATTAAACGTTTTAATGATGTAATAATACGGAGTTTGAGTGCAAAATTGACGTTTAAAATCATCCATTTTGGTGGTTACGTCTTGAGAATCGACTTTTTTAAATATTAAATGACGACGACAAAAAATGTTACAAAAAAATTCTAAAACAAATTAGTTGCTTAGGGATAGGTTGAGAAAATAAAATTTGACTCTTATTATCGAAAATATATAATCTTATTCAGTTATTAGTGCCTTATTGTTGACAAAACGTTTCTGTAGATTTCCAGGAATTTTTATTGAAAAGACGACATTTATAGAATTTAAATAAGACTACGAACAAATTCGTAAAGAATAAGAAATTCATTTTAATGATGAAAAAGAATTTACTGATTCTAATATTAATTTATTGAGAAAATATCAATGGAGAAATTTGTTCCTAAACATTTGATTAGTTTACTGTAACATTTTTTTCTTTTTTGTCGTCGTTATATAATAATTTTTTAAAAATCGATCCTCAAAACGTAACCACCCAAATGGATGATTTTGAAAGTCGAATTTGAGCTCAAACTCAGTATTTATGCATCTTTAGAACGATTTATATGTCTGAAATGAATCCTTTAAAATTTCTCCATGCAATACTACATTCTCAGTTCTACTACCATACATTGTCGGTCACTCCCTTTAAGAACAATTTTTTTACAGTTCAAACCTGAAAACTGTGAAATAAGATAACGACTTTTAGACTCAAGTTATGATTTGAAATATTCCGTTAAACACAGTAATTATGCAGTTTGTACATGCTGTCATTTCACTTCAAAACGCGATTTTTAAACTTCTTTTAGTAAAAGTATTTGCTTTGTAACAACATCAAATAAACTTAAATATTGCTTAAATGTCGTCTTTCTATTCCACAGTTTACTGGTTCTCACTGTAAATTGTGAGAATCATGGTTGAAATATATTAAGAACATAAACCGCTCTACTTTGCCTTCCAAACTTGACAGAGAATTGTTTTGAAGTTCGTTGTTAAATATTTTATGTTTTTTACTTTAAAAGTGTTTCACAATAATGTGAATTATTTATTGCATTGCAAAATTGTAATATCGATCAGTTTGCTTTTTGTACATTTTACCAAATTTTGAATAATTTCGTTATGAAAAAAGTTTCGGTTTACACTTTTGGTCAGTGTAAAATAAGCAAGCTTATCAAGAATGTAATTTTGATATAGGATCATCTTTGGTTTCTTGTAGAGTCTCATTAAACTATGCTTATCAGTACAATGTACAGACAAGTACTGTCCCAACTGAGTTCTGTACATTGTGTACAATGTCCCTAAAAAATATCATTTCTGCTAAAGATGAATTTGAAACTTACTTAGGGCCAGATTCCAGGTCTGACCTACAGAATCGGGGGAGACTTCAATGCCGAAAACCTAGGGTCGAAGGTAAAACAAACAAAAAACCAATTTAATATTTTTTCAACTTTATTTGATTAGCTGGAGGTGAGTGTTCACAATGCTCTGGAGGAAAAGGATTCTGCTAATGTGGTTGGAGTTGTTTATGGAGCAGAGGAACCAGACAGGTAAACCTGGAGCTAGGAGCTGTTTATGGAGCAGAGGAACCAAACAGGTAAACCTGGAGCTAGGAGTTGTTTATGGAGCAGAGGAACCAGACAGGTAAACCTGGAGCAAGGAGTTGTTTATGGAGCAGAGGAACCAGATGGGTAAACCTGGAGCTAGGTGTTGTTTATGGAGCAGAGGAACCAGACAGGCAAACCTGGATCTAGGAGTTGTTTATGGAGCAGAGGAACCTGCATGGACAGGTAAACCTGGAGCTAGGAGTTGTTTATGGAGTAGAGGAACCAGACAGGTAAACCTGGAGCAAGAAGTTGTTTATGGAGCAGAGGAACCAGCCAGGTAAACCTGGAGCTAGGACTTGTTTATGGAGCAGAGGAACCAGTAAACCCGGAGCTAGGAGTAGATTATGGAGCAGAGGAACCATTAAACCTGGAGCTAGGAGTAGATTATGGAGCAGAGGAACCATACAGGTAAACCTGGAGCTATGAGTTGTTCATGGAGCAGAGGAACCAGACAGGTAAACCTGGAGCTAGGAGTTGTTTATGGAGCAGAGGTACCAGACAGGTAAACCTGGAGCTAGGAGTAGATTATGGAGCAGAGGAACCAATAAACCTGGAGCTAGGAATAGATTATGGAGCATGAACACGTGAAGATAAATCCAGATGATTAAAAATATTAAAATATATTAAGATATGTGATGCTGGGGAATCATAGGGATGCCTGGGGGTTCGGAGCACTAGATCCCAGCTCAGGAACAGCTCAGCTCATGGAGGTGTTTTTTATATATTTAAAACATACAGTGTGTTTCAATAAATATTGGATTTGAGTGACGACTTTGATATCGTCTTTGTTCAGATTATCAGTGTACCTAATCTTAAACGACTTAATAATGTTACGTCTAATAGACCACAGTTAAACCCTAAATAAGCCATATATCGAAAGGATTCATCAAATGTCGTATTCTTTACTTTCTGATAATGAAATGTTGTAGATATTTAGATATTGAAAAATTGTCAAGACAACATTTGATAAATTCTTTTGATGTATGGCTCATTTAGGGTTTAACTGTACATTAGATGTATCTAAACGGAATTAAAAGAGATATAAAAACTGTTTTACTGCGAACTGAACAGAACATATGAAGAAGGGTAATTTTATGCGACATCACTGGTAAGACTTTGTGACCTCGTAGCTCCTCTAATTTTGATGTTACGCGCCAGTATGAGAAAATATACAAGATGTCAATCTTAAATTTGCAATAATCTTACGTTTAACGTGTGTGTATTATGTTAATTTATGCAAAATTGTGATAACTGTATACTTTGTTTGCATACAAGAATAACATTTTTTGGGACACCCTGTATTGACAACTTGATTAACAAAGTACACAGAGTGTACACTGTTGTACGGTTCACTGTTGTACAGAAGACGATTCAGCAGAATTTTAATATTTCAAAAGTGATCTGTTAGATCAAAATCAGTTTTAAATACAGGGTTACCCACAAAGGACGAGACTTCAGAGACGACTGTATCGAATTAATACTTTCTGTTTACTAATTAATACTTACGATTCCCTGCAACTGTAAATTTGGTTATTTGGCCAAATCTTTTAATAATTGCTATTGAAAGACTTTATTCAATACAGAAAACGTAATTTTACCTTGGGATCTTCATATTTCAAGAGTTTAGGGTCGTCTTTGCAGTCTCGCCCTTTGTGAGTAACCCTTTATAAAATCTCATCAGGTTGCAAAGATCTGGAGATAAGTAAGTATATATGAAATCCTTTGTATAGGTTGTCCGAGTAATTGGAGAAAAGTTGAAAACAGGTTGGAGACCGAAAAGAACACTCATGTTTCTCAGGTTATCTATATACATATATGAAGTTGTAATCTTTGTTTGTCTGTCTGGCTGTTTATTTGTCCGATCATAACTCAGGAAAATACTTTTACCAGTAGATTAAATCCATAGATTAATTAAAATAACAGATAGGACACTAGATGTCGCCTTTTCAAGATTTATGTGCGTTTCGTTCACAATAACCCTGAGGCAGAAGCCCAAAAGGAGATACGCGTAGTCGGCGTAGAATAAGACAGAGAGAGAGCTTGTTCTACGGCGACTATAGTTTCCTATCTGTTTTAAGTAATCTATGCTTGAATCTTATAAAGTGAAATAAGTGAGTATGTACGCTGCACTATTCCTGGGTTTTATGTTTTCATTAAACTCCTTAAAACCATGTATAACTTGTATAATGTATAATGTATGCTGTATACTACAGTTAAACCCCATTGAGCCATACATCGAAAGAATTTATCAAATGTCGTCTTGACAATTTTCAATGGGTTTTATACTTTTTCACGTAAATCTGAGTATTTGCGAAATAAATAAATAGCCATTAATATGCGGGAACAGAACAGTTTTAGAGGGCTTCATATAATCATTTAATTAAAAAACTCAATATCTGCAACATTCCGTTATCAGAAAACGACATTTGATGAATTATTTTGATGTATTTGATTATTTAGGATATGAACCCAGTTGTGTCTGGAAAATATGTTTTTCCTAATAGTTGGGTCATTAAAATTATCTTCAAAACAAATACACTTAAATAAATTGAAATGGTTTTTATATTATAAAATTAAATAATGAAAAAGATCTCGATATCACTTGATAAGCTCATGTTTAGCTGGGGAGCCGAGGAATACAGTTTAATAGGATCCAGGGAGTTTGTGGAAGAGTATCAGGTAAAATACAATGTCGTCTTCACTTGCGAAAGAATGTAAAATTCAATGTCGTCTTTCCTCTTAGAAATTCAGGTAAAATACAGCCAATCTCAGATTTGTGGATGCATAGCAAAAGTTTTTTATAATGTCTTATTAACCTATTTCAATTATTTTTTTAATTTCAATGACTATATGGAGCTATTTATTTCTGTCAATTCGCAAAACATGAAAATTTGTGCACATTTGCAGGTTACCAATGTAAATTTAATAATAAGAATTTTAATTAAATTGTTAAAAAGGAGAACTTACTATTTATTCAAAGTTTTTTGTGACGCTTAAATATCGTAGAAACAAACATTACGTCTAAAGTATTTAACATTGTTTAATAAAACTCAAAATATTTTCTTTCTCGTGCATTTCTTCAGTTCCTGAATCTAAAATAGAAGAAATCAATTCAAAAATATTTGGTTTCTTTTGTTTTTATGTTTAAAATTTTAACTTTTAATTAAAATGTTTCCCATGCATATTCAAATAGGGTTTTCCAAAAGTTTTGGGTCATCCTAAAAGTCTCATCCTTTTTGGGAAACCCTGCAGTTAAACAGGATCGAGGGAGGATTATTTATTCTTTAAACTTTTCCTTTTTTTGTTTAAATTTACTTTTTGAGAGCATATTCTAAAGATTGAATCAATTTAACAAAATTTGATGAATTCAACATTCTACTTCTAAAAGTGTATGCAAACTTGAAAATTTTGTCTGTTGAGATTGAGAAGGCCTTAATTCCATCTTAATTAAAAAATTTGTAAAAAGAAGTCAAGTATACCTGAACTGTGAAGGTCCAGTTTGTACACTCCTGGTGGTCACTTGAAGGTCAGAGTCGTCAGAAACAGATTTGATCAAATCAATATCCCTAGAATAGGAATTAAATCTATTGTTAGGTAAATAAACTTTCGTTGTAATTTCGAACTAAATTTGTGTAGAAGACGACATGTACGTACCTCTTGTTTCTTGATCGTACTGTAGGAGGAAGAGATATCAGCTGTCGACTCGTATCAAATATATCTTTGTTCTCCTGAATGAGATGAATACATTTTTATCAACTTTTGGCAGTTGAAAATATTGTACTTTTTTCATTATAGTCATTTTAAATTGCAATACCAATTGTAGTTAATATTTAAAGGAATTTGTTTCCTGTACAGGGTGTCCGACGACTTAGACTTAAAGTCGTCTTTTTTATATATTTTTAGCATTTATTTGTCAACCTAATTTTAGATGCAAATGTTATTGTTTTACGAATCATACGTGTTTAAGTCGGTTGACGACAAAATATTCGAATTTATTCAAATATCAAATACGACTTTCAAGTCGTCTTGCTTCTGTCATGTTTCGTGGGACACCCTGTACATTAAAGAGAATCATTAATATTTTCACGGAGTGTTCTTCCATTTTTAAAAGAGATATTTCTTCTTAATTTAAATGATTTGGTCTTCTAACTTTAAAGGGTTTGTTCTTCTAACTATAAAGGGTTTGTTCATCTTAATTTAAAGGGTTTGTTCTTCTAACTTTAAAGGATTTGTTCTTCTTAATTTAAAGGGTTTGTTCTTCTTACTTTAAAGGAATTATTTTGTTTACTTTATAGGAACTTTTTTTACTTACTTTAAAAGAACTATTTTACTTACTTTAAAGGAACTATTTTACTTACTTTGAAGGAACTATTTTACTTAATTTAGAGCAATTATTTTACTTACTTTGAAGGAACTATTTTACTTACTTTAAAGGAACTATTTTACTTACTTTGAAGGAACTATTTTACTTAATTTAAAGGAATTATTTTACCTACGTTGAAGGGATTATTTAATTACTTTGTAGGAATTATTTTACTTACTTAAAAAGGGATTATTTTACTTACTCTAAAGAAATTATTTTACCTACTTTGAAGGAATTATTTTACTTACTTTAAAGAAATTATTTTACCTACTTTAAAAGAATTATTTTACTTACTTTAAAGAAATTATTTTACCTACTTTAAAGGAATTATTTTCCTTACTTGAAAAAATTATTTTTCTTTTTTAAAGGGATTATTTTGCTTACTTTAAAGAGATTGAAATACTTACCCTAAGTAGGTTTTCATAATGTTCATTATCAAAAGAAGGTCTCAGTAATGGAATACGGCTAAAAAAATCTTATAATTTATGTTAAAGTTTAATTCAAATGCATGAAATCCTACGTTCAATGGTTTGAGGTTAAATGTCATTAAAAAATTTTATTTACTTTACAAGTTTCAGTTGGGTGAAAATGTTCTTTATTTATACAGGGTGTCTCACGAAGCAGGACAGTACCTCTGCAGCAAGACGAATTGAACGTAGTCTTTGATTCTTGAAACAATTTACGAAATTTATTCGAAAACCTAATTTTAGAAGTGAAATTCTAGAGTTAATAATAATAAATAAAACTAAATAGTAAAAACCCTTAGTCTTGACATTTCCAAAATGTGGTCTGCCTTTTATGTGCGTTTAATATCATCGGAGATATTAAGATATTTTTTTCAGATTTCGACAATTTCGGTTCTTTTTAATAAAATTTAAATCTGACCGAAATTCTTAACATCTCCGATAATATTGACAGCACAAAAAAGGTAGACCACACTTTGTTAATCCCAGGAGTCAGGACTAGGAGAATTTTGGGGTTTTTGCTTCATAAATCATACATGCTAAAGTAGGTTGACGATTAAATGTCACAAATAAATTTGAAATTTAAAGGCGTCTTTAAAGTCGTCTTGCTACCGTCATATTTCATGGGACACCCTATATTTTATAAAACATTTTGTGTTTTAAAAAATCAAACTCGGAAGTTTCATTTATTGATATACTGGGCTTTTGACAGGCTTCGTTGAACATTTGTTTTTATTTTGTGAACGTTACCTGAAGAATCTTGACAAAGCAGACATGGGATATATTTCATTCTCATTTGGCATTTCCATTTCATTTCTAAATAATATTTGTTTTTTGACAAGTACAGTGGGTGTTGAATAGGAAGACCACTTTGAGACATAAGTACGTAAGTACTAATTTTAAGAAATTAAAGTTTCCAGGGAATTGCTATCTAAAATATCACATTTGTTTAATCCTTCTTTTCACTAATTTCGGTTTTCTTTAGGCTTGGTAAAGAGGTTATATTCCTATTTAATGGGACTGTACAGGGAAAATGGAAAGGGGTATAAGTTGAAAGCTTATCACATTAGCTCTTGATCGCGACCCATGAAAATTATGTCTGATGTTCCTATCTTGACAAATTGATATAAAACTGTGTCAAGTTTATACGAAAATTCATATATACACAATATAGAAATGGTACGTTTAAACAAATCATATTTAGCAAATATGCAACCAATCTGAAAACGAAGATATCCCAGAGAAATCAAATTGTAACTTTGGTTTTTTCCAATTATTATTTTTAAATTTTATAATTTTTTTATTTTTAATAGTTCGTATGACGTCATTAGAACTTCCACAAATGGTAGTGCAGTGTACTGTCACGTGATATAGACAGCGATACTGCACTCTCATTGGTGTTAGTTCTGCTGCATGTACTTGTATTTTCGTTTTGCCACAGTTTTATATCAATTTCTCGAGACAGGAACAACAGATTGAACTTTCATGGGGCGCGATCAAGCCCTAAAGTGCTTAGGTTTCAGCCTATAACCACTTTCATTTTTCCTTTACAGGAAGGGATGGGAAATTTTTAAGTAGGCGAACAGTCATAAAAGAATTATTTTTAACACAAATGAAAATTACCTATTTCCTACTTTAGTTTCTATCCCAATGCCTCGACCCTAGATAAAATGTGCTTTTTAATTTTTAAAAATTTTTATGCCATGATATTTTCTTTTGCCATTACCTTTACGTTATCAATTTTATTTTTCCCTTGCGACATTTTACGTGTTTTTATGTCTCAACGTTACCATGTTTTGCAAAATTATTTCTTTTTTATACTAGACAAAGGATAATAATAATTAAAAGTTAAAACTATAAGTTTAATAAAATTATTCTTCTAATTTCAAATGAAAAAACCTTATCTATTGTGTGATGAAACAAAATAAAAGATGTTACCTGAATTGACTGAATTACCAGCGCCGATAAAATATAAACCTGAATTTTAAATATAAATGAGATTGACATTTAAAGATTTATAGAATAAAACTAGACATTAGTATATATGTTCCCTATTTATGGCCAAACGGCTGGACCGAATGGGCTGAAATTTTTTGAGACAATCATATAATTTTTAAGTATTTTCAAATCTAAAAATTAATTACTATTATGATTATTACTTGAAGGACATCCATATTTCAAAGCGTATATAGAAAATGCGTCTAGTTTTATTGTCAAAATTGGTCATTTTAGCTTGAATTTTATGTTTAAAATGACATAGGAAATTGTTTCAGATTTTTATATTGAGTGCATATATAAAAAAAATGATTAATATTCCGCATACTTTAACGCAGAATTCCAAATTTTTGCGCCAAAATTAATTTTGTGGAAGCAAGCGCAAACGATACCGATTCCGCCCAAAACTTGAGTTTTAGTAGCAAAAAAATGCACAAAATGATTTTTACTAATAACAGGCTACAGCCTAGGTTTCAGTGTTTAAGCGAAAAAATAAAGGTTTTGTAGATCAGGGAAGGGTTTATCCCTGGAAAATTACAAGAAAGATTGTTTTATGACTTTTTAAGATTAGGGATTACATAGTTTGAATTGGATAAGTTTGTATAAGTGGGTAAGAAAGTGGGTAAGTGCTAGAAAAAGTTGTATTGATGCAACTGCTTTCATACAAGATAGATTCATTGTTTCTAGTAGATTTCAACCTCAACAAATACAATAGAATATAGCAGTAGCAAATATTAATAGTAATGTAGTCATGGTCAGGTCCAACTGGAGGAAAGAGAAGTACAATATATATAACTACTGATGTAGTCATGTTCAGGTCCAACTAGAGGAAAGAGAAGTACAATTGTTAACATAAATTCAAAATGTAAGGAAGACAATTTCACCGACTCAAATGCCGATGTTAATTCTCTAGATGTGTGTGTACACAGGATCCATTTCCGCCATGAAGCACACCTCACATGTAACCTTCGCTCCTCACCTCTCTACACCTCCCGGTATTCAGTCAGCTATAAACACTCAAGACATTCACAACTCCATCTCAACCCTGGCTCCTTCATGATGATGATGCAGATACTCAGCGCAACGCACCTGTTGATCTGCCCCACCAACATGAAGCTCTACATCACCCCCCATGACTCCTTCAGGCTGATGATGCAGACCCTGAACTAACAGCAGGCGTGCTTATACCTCTGATCACCCTATTAACTTCTTGAGAAGCTTACTTAGGAAACTTGTGCACGGCTCTGACCGAAGTTTCCGCTATCTCGAGTTGCATTGCCTTAGTTCCATTGATAAGTCCTGTCGTCCCAATTCCCAGATCTGCTCCACCAACTTGAAGCTCTACAACACTTCCATGAAGCGCCATCTAATATCCATCATTAATTCCTTTGTTAATTTCCAAATCAACCAATTTTAACTCCGCTTTAAATGCAAATATTTCAAAACTCTCGTTTTTTTAAATAAATGTTAGAAATATCCATTTAGATCTCCTTTATTTTATTATAGTGACTTTTAAAGTCAACAACAATATATAACTAATGATGTAGTCATGTTCAGGTCCAACTGGAAGAAAGAGGAGTAGCATATATAAACACTGATGAGTCATGTTCAGGTCCAACTAGAGGATAGAGGAGTAGCATATATAAACACTGATGTATGTATGGCTGGAAATTATCTAGAACCTCTGTCCTCTCCAACCCTATCTCATCTTTTTACAGATGCTACTAAGGTAATAAAGGTTGTCTCTAAATAATAAAGCTCTGTGACAATTTTTTTTTATTCGACAAGCAATGCCACCAAATGATACATCCTCTTCCATTGAGATTAATGTGAAAGAGAAGAATAAAATAATTATTATTAGGATATTGATAGTCCGGATGGGAATGGAAGTTATTATGATTTCTGGAAAAGATACGAAGGTATTCCAGAAGATGAAGACTTTGAACCTCATGTTGGAATGAGTCCAGGTAATGGTTTATCCTGTTTACCTCCTTATCCACCTACTTTTGTCTTGTATTCGTCCATATCCATCTGCTTGTGTCCTGTATTCGTCCATATTCACCTACTCTTCTCCTGTATTCGTCCTTATCCACCTACTTTTATCCTGTATTCGTCCTTATACATCTACTTTTGTCCTGTATTCGTCATTATCCACCTACTTTTGTCCTGTATTCGTCCTTATCCACCTACTTTTGTCCTGTATTCGTCCTTATTCACCTACTTTTATCCTGTACTCGTCCTTATTCACCTATGTTTGTCCTGTTCTCGTCCTTATCCAACTACTTTTGTACTGTACTCGTCCTTATCCACCTACTTTTGTCCTGTACTCGTCCTTATCCACCTACTTTTGACCTGTATTCGTCCTTATCCACCTACTTTTATCCTATACTCGTCCTTATTCACCTATGTTTGTCCTGTACTCGTCCTTATCCACCTACTTTTGTCCTGAATTCGTCATTATCCACCTACTGTTGTCCTGTATTCGTCCTTTTTCACCAACTTTTGTCCTGTATTTGTCGTTATCCATCTACTATTGACCTGTATTCGTCCATATCCATCTATTTTTGTCCTGTATTCGTCCATATCTATCTACTTTTGTCCTGTATACTTTAGTCCTTATCCACCTACTATTGACCTGTTTTCGTCCTTATTCACCTACTATTGTCCTGTATTCGTCCATATCTATCTACTTTTGTCCTATATTTGTCCTTATCCACCTACTTTTGTCCTATATTCGTCCTTATTCACCTCCTAGGTGGAAAATAGCTCTTGGCTGTTTTGATTATTTTTTCCACCTAATTTCAATAATGATAACAACACATTTCAATTAAATAGATTTAAGGAGAACTATTGGAGATCAGGGTGCGATTTTATCTTATGCAAAATAGTTTATACATTGATTAGAATAACTATGCACCCTATATCCACCCTGTATCCAATTTTTATTTTTTAACATTTATTATTTTTCCAAATTTTTATTTTTTAACAATATGTATAAGATAAAATAGATGATGGTCAAAGCATTTAAACAGATGCTAACACGTCTACCAACTTATATTTAGAACAATGCAGCTCGTGCTTTTGGAAAAATATTTACGATATATAAAATTATAACTCTCAGAAGATATAAGCCTGAATTGAAGTAAAAGAACAGAATCAGACGTTTGCTAACATCTTACATCTTCTGCCAGAGTTAAAATATTGCATAGTTTGATAAATGCAAATTTGCAAAAAATAAAATTTTGAATTTTTTCATATATCTTAGAGATTTTGGAGTTACCTAAAAACAGGAAAATACTTAAATGATCAAAAGACATAAAGACCGGTATACTTTAATCCATCCTGTATCCTGTATCCTGTATCCTGTATCCTGTATCCTGTATCCTGTATCCTGTATCCTGTATCCTGTATCCTGTATCCTGTATCCTGTATCCTGTATCCTGTATCCTGTATCCTGTATCCTATATCCTGTATCCTGTATTTTGTATCCTGTATCCTGTATACTCTATTCAGTATCCTGTATCCTGTATCCTGTATCCTGTATCCTTTATTCAGTATCCTGTATCCTGTATCCTGTATCCTGTATCCATCCTTCATCAATCCTGTTTCCTTTCTTTTACATTTAAAAAATTTTAAAAATACAATTTACTAGGAGCCGGAAGTGATCATGCTTCCTTTATATATTTGGCCGGAATCCCAGTTATTGACATCTCATTTGGACCGGATAGGAAGAAATATCCAAGTATAGGTGGATATCCAGCCTACCATACAGGTACAGGATTTGAACCGGATAGGAAGAAATATCCAAGTATTGGTGGATATCCAGCCTACCATACAGGTACAGGATTTGAACCGGATAGGAAGAAATATCCAAGTATTGGTGGATATCCAGTCTACCATACAGATACAGGATTTGGACCGGATAGGAAGAAATATCCAAGTATGGGTGGATATCAAGCCTACCATACAGGAACAGGATTTAGACCGGATAGGAAGAAATATCCAAGTATTGGAAGATATCCAGTCTACCATACAGGTACAGGATTTGGACCGGATGGGAAGAAATATCCAAGTATTGGTGGATATCCAGTCTACCATACAGGTACAGGATGAGAATTGGGAGACGACTTGAATATCGTCTTTGATTTCTGATAATTGATAAAGGACATAAAGTGCATCAAAAAAAAAGACTGAATATCTAAAGAGCTTTCCAAAATGTTGTCTACCCTCTTTGTAGCCTTAAAATTGACGGAGGTATTAAACATTTGAACTGTTTTGTTGATTTTTAATAAACTAAAATCTGGACAAATTTCCGAATATCTTTGTCAACTTTGAAGGTTAAAAAATTGTAGACCACATTTTGGAAATCCCGAGATTAGTATTTTCTTATGTCAAATCTTTTAATTGAAACTACAAAATTATGTTTGCGAAATAATCCTGCACAAAACAAAGCCGCAATAGAAGTCGTCATTTAATTCCCATATTTATTGGGTCACCCTGTATAAACAGGGATAGGATAAAATTACATAATCTAAGCGTATAATTTGGTAAGTGGGACGTTAAATTTTTAAAAAATTCACTATTCTAAGAAAAAGAGTCGGTTTAGATATAAAAACAACAACAAAAGATTAAAAAATGTATCTTTGTCTACAAAATTAATCAATAATATATAAATATGAATCAATAGAAACTCTAAATTTGACAGTTTATAAATGTATAAAATAGAGACAAATAAGCTAATTTTAATATATAATAATATATAAATAAATATGATTAATGAATTTGAAATTAAATTAATCTAACCTAACCCTCTAATAATAAATAATGATAATTTTATAAAATAATACCATAAACGAATTTTGGCCATCCCAACACTCTGTCTTTTGGCGATAGATCAAACATTTTTGAAAATTTTGAATTAAAAATAAATTTTCTTTAGACAGCTTTTTTTATACCAGTATCGATATGTTTTATAAATTACTTGTAATTTTTAATTGCTAAATCAAATTTTAACATATTCGAGCACAGTTTTTTAGACATAAAAGAGCCTTAAATTCAGCAAACAAAATCTAAAAATCTAAAAATTTTAACTCATATTTTTGATGTAAAACACTGGAAAGCAAATTAATTTTTTCATTTGTTTAAGGCTACGAGACATTTGATCTTGTGGACAAGATATACGATCCAGAGTTTGTAATGTTTAAAGCTTGCGCTCAACTCAACCTTAGGTAAAAACAGAGGTTGTTTTTTTTTCCATGTATCAGAAAAGCGCCATTTTTTGGTGCTTTTTTAGATTTTGCCATCTATACAATAAATAAATGTATTCATATACAGTTTAAACCAGAAAACTGAAAAAAGGGCTTTTTATCAAAAAAAGGTCTAAACAATTTTTCAAAAAATAATTTAATTGCAAACTGCAAAATCTTATTGCGACATTTCATGATTTAAAGAAAAAAGTACTTCGAGAATTCCATCTTTTTTTGGTTCTCACTGTATATTCTTTGAAATATGCTAGGAAGTAATCCAACGTACATGCAGGTTTTAACAATTCAAATGAAAACCACATCAAAAGTACACAAACTATCGTTTTAAAAACGTTTTTAAATTTTATAATTCCAGATTAGGTCTGGAACTGGCAGAATCCAGTCTCTTACCCTGGAAACTGGAGAACTATGCTGATGTTATGGAAAGTGCTATGTCAGGTACAGGGTATCCAACGAAACATGACAGTTGGTAAATAGTTATGAATGTCGTCTTTCATATACTGTATTAGATATTAAAGGCTTTTTGCAGTTTATTTCTTTAAACAAATCTATTTTTGAAACATAATTTACATTGAAACCAATTTTACTAAAACATGACTCCGAAATAATATTTTTATTATTGTCTTTGGTATTAAACAACTTAACAAATTATGGAAGATGACATTCTAAACTATTCACCAACTGCCATGTTTAGTTGGACACCCTGTATATTACATCAGTATTAAAGTTTTTCATATGAATCATCAAAAATATTCATAGAAGCAAAAACTGTGTAGAAATGTCATTGCCCTTTTGACGAGCTTAGAAATTATGAAGGTTTTAAACTTTATGCTGTTAATCACAAATCGATTTTTCAATGTCTAGATTAAAACTTACAATTTTCTGCGATCTGGGTTTCTGCCCCTTGTGATGATTATGGACCAGGAAAAAATTGTAATGTCTCAATTAATTTCAAATGTACCAAACATGCAGACTACACTTTGAAAATCACAGAGTTAAAATTAGTTTATTGTTGTAAGAAAAATGATTCGTTTAACAACAGAATAAATGCCGCGTAAATAAACGGCGATTTTACGGTTAATTTTTCTACATTTTCCATCTACATTAAAATATCTGTTTTAAGTTATTTTTGAGGACAATAAGGTTTTAAATTCCATAGCGTGTTACCTAATAAATTAAGTTTTTTCTCCCACTTGTATGTAGAATCAAAACTAGAGGAGCTACTGTTTAAACAAGAAATTTGGAAATATCGAAAGAATTTATAATATGTCGTATTCCTAACCTACTCATAAGGAAATGCTGCAGATATTTAGTTTTTTTATTGAAAAATTATATTGAGCTCTTTAAAACTGTTCCCGCATATTTCATTGCTATTCATAAATATTTCAATGCAAATAGATTCTAGTACAATAGATGGCAACGTAGAATTTGTACACTCTCAGTACGGTGTATTCTTACGTCACAAGTGTCAACTCAATTTTTGTGTCTGACAAATTATTAAAAATAGTGGTAATTTTAGAATAAAGTGCTAGTCTCACAGTAAAATAAGTGCAATTTTATGTGTTCTTTATTTTCTGTTTTTATACTTTTTTATTTAATCTTGGAAAACATGTCAAATAATGTGGGAAAATTTGGTTTTCTTTGTTATATTTGACACTTGTGACGTCATGTATCATTGGTCCATTTCTCTGCTGCCACCTATTGTACTTGGTAATCTATTTGTTTTAATGCAACTACTCAGATTTAGGTATTCAACCCGTTAAAAAATTGTCAAGGCGACATTTTATAAATTCTTTCGATTTTTCAAGGTACTGGGTCAAACTGTAGAGGATAACAAAGTTGTACCAGTAATGTATGTTTTGATTACAGACCTTGAATCTTCTGGAGTTTTGTCTCAGCTCAATAGTCTTGGAATTCAAACTTCTTTTCTCAATTCTTCTGTTTATAATTTCAGGTACTATAACGTTTAGGCCCCTTGTACAGTGTGTACTTTGTTATACACGGAGATGAAAACTTTTGAACAGAGTATCGTTAATCCTAAACACTTGATCTCGCACTTTTGAATTAATAATATCTTTAATAAAGATGAGGAATCTCTTTAATAAAGATGAGCAATTCCTTTAATAAAGGTGAACAATCCCTTTAATAAAGATGAACAATCCCTTTAATAAAGATGAACAATCCCTTTAATAAAGATGAACAATCCCTTTAATAAAGATGAACAATCCCTTTAATAAAAGACTGACTAATTAAGGGGTTCTGTGGCCAACTGGAGGGAGTATGTAAATTCTCTGGACACCTCTAATCCTCTCACAGCTCGGGTTGTAAATGACCAAATCAGGTATACAGGGTGTCCCAATAAACAGGGAAATTCAGGGATGATAAAAGAAATATTCTATATAAAATGAAGAAAAAAAATTTGCGACCCCCTGGCCCCTAATTATAGTTGTAAGTGTGGTCCACCGTTTATGTTCCTTGAAATACGATTATCTACGATTACATTATCTACAACTTTGCGCTACTTTTTAAGAAATGCAGGGTATGGAGCGAAATTGATCTAACAGTTGCAAAGTTTTTGTGCCCGCTACCCGGTGCTCATGTATGAAAATAATTGCCTACGGCACTTTTTATAATAATGCTGTGTTTCCCCTTCTGGCCCCATGATGGTGAAATACACGGAGAGGGTAGAAACCAACTTATAGCTATCTAGCTAACTAGCTATCTCGTTATCTATCTATCTTAATACCTTGCTAGCTATACACAGCTAACTAGCTATATAGCTACCTAGTTTCTAGCTACATTTCTATCTACCTAGCTATCTAACCACCTATTTATCTAGTTACCTAGCTATTTAGCTACCTAGCTATCTAGCTACCTAGCTATCTAGCTACCTAGCTATCTATCTACCTAGCTATCTAGCTACCTAGCTATCTATCTACCTAGCTATCTAGCTACCTAGCTATCTAGCTACCTATCTATCTAGCTTTCTAGCTATCTAGCTACTTGGCTATCTAGCTACTTGGCTATCTAGCTACCTAGCTATCTAACTACCTATCTATCTAGCTTTCTAGCTATCTAGCTACTTGGCTATCTAGCTACCTAGCTTTCTAGCTACCTAACTATCTAGCTACCTAGCTATCCGCTACCTCGCTATTTATCTACCTAGCTATCTAGCTATTTAGCTATCTAGCTATCTAGATATCTGGCTACCTAGCTATCTAGCTATCTAGCTTCTAGCTTTTTATTTATTCATCTATCTAGCTTCCTAGTTATCTATCTACCAAACAATTTAGCTACCAAGCTATCTAGATATCTAGCTACCTAGCTACCACAAAAGTGATTCGCGCAATTCTACCTCAGGAAAAGAGAGAAATTATCCACATAGATTCAGCCTGCTCAAGCTTATAAAAAGTCTCATCAATTTTTAAGACAGGGTCAACTTTGAAGTGTCGCAACAGCTTGGGCTTTGATTTTACCGTTCTTACTTATGTATACTTCTGTAGCCCTTTACAAGTACATTTTAGCACTATAAGGCACTTTTTGTTAGCTTGAGTTTTTCGAGCACATTTTCGAATAGTATGCATAATTTTGAAGATGAAAACGGCATTTAGAGAAAAACATGACATCCACGCCCCAAGTTGTACCTATAGAACCAAAGTTTAACACAAAACAACGATGTTCATAATGCTAAAATGCCTAAACACCTTGTATTATTTCATGTGATAACCAGTGCATTGTTTATTGATTATGAACAATGTATGTACACTGTAAAATGTACACTGTAAATTGTACAGTGTCATTTATGTACTATGTACATACAGAGTGTGTATTGTGTAAATATTTCATCATGGTGAAATATATATTTTTAGAGGATTCGAGAAAACATTCCTGCTCAACCCTGGACTTCCCGATAGGAATACATGATGAAATAATAGACAAATAGACGCACACCATAACAGACAGACAAATACAAATACAGACAGACAAACACCAAGACAGACAGACACCCTGACAGACAGACAAACACCAACACAGACAGACAGTTGTTAGGCTAGACAGGTGGATATCCAGACAGTGCAGACAAGCATTATCTGGGACAAAAAAGAAAAAAATGAAAAGAAACGAAACAAAAACTGAAAGAAAAAAGAAAAAAGGGGAGATTATTGCCAAAAAATCTAGCTTTTGCGACTAATATTATTTTTATTCAAATAAAAAAAAATTAGTGCTTTTGAAATAAATTATTAATTTCTTGAAACAAAGTAAAAATAATTCTTTGTATTTTGAGAAACTTAGCCTTTTGCAACACCAAAAAGTAACAGTGTCCCTGTGTGGCTATTAAAGCCAGGTGGGTTGTGTCCTGGTTGACTATGATAGCAAACGATTTGGACCTGGATAGATACGTTTCAAGAACTTGTTCTGGAGTAGGTGTTTAGTACAGACTGATAGATTTAGAAAGATACTCAGACAGACATAAAGATAGATAAAGATGCACAGACAGATAAACATAAACAGACAGACATAAAGATAGATAAAGATACACAGACAGATAAACATAAACAGACAGACAGAGAGATAGATAAAGATACACAGACAGATAGACAGATAGATAAAGATACATAGACAGATAGACAGATAGAGAAAGATACACATACAGACAGACAGATAGATAAAGGTACATAGACAGATAGAGAGATAAAAAGGCATCATCTATGTGCATGAAAAGGTTACAGTACAGGCACGCCATCATTGCCCCATCAAAGTTTGACGCATACGGGGGTTCTGCATTCCCAGGAATAGGTAAATTAATCCCAGCTAGCTGTCTATATCTATCTATGCAGGATTTACAATAAAACCTGCAAAAAAAGTTTTGTTTTTTAATTGAAAATTTGCCCCCCCCCCCCATGATAATATCTACATGAGGAACTTAAAAAGTATTGGTCTGAGGCTGTCCAAAGAAACACTTGACACTCGTGACAAATTTAAGTTTTTTAGTCCATATATCTTTCCAACCTGATTTCGTAGACATTTAAGGTTACTAACTATGATTTGTTTAAATATCGAAGGTTTATACCATGAACTTGCAAAAATATGAGAATTGGACCATTAAAGTTTGTTCATTTCTTTTCCTGAATTATTACTAACCCCAGCGCATAGGCTTTTGCGCGCACCAAGTGCCGAATCCATGCCAACATAGTACTTAGAACTTTATCTAGACTTAGTTCCGATTGTTTTTTATTCTTTTTTGGAAAGACTCTGATAAATAAAACAGCAGACTTCACAACTGTTGTTGCAAAGAAATTTTGCACACTATTCTTTATAAGCCAATTTACATATTTTTTAGTTTTTCTTTTTTAAACATTGGGCGTTGGTCTGAAGTTTGAATTATTTTCTACTTTTGCTTATAGATAGAGGGATAAAGACAATAAGACAACTGTTAGGCCCAAGTTTTTTGTTAATCTCACTTGTAATAAAACACAGCAATTGCGCAGTCTACACAGACCTAAATAGACTATCAAGTACAATAAGTGGCATTATTTTCTGTAAGATAAACACTTTATTCTAAAATTATCAATATTATTAATAATTTTGTCGGACACAAAAACTGAATTGACACTTGTGACGTCAGAATACTGCTGTACTGAGAGTGTACAAACTCTACGTACTATTGTCCTCCATTGTACTATAAGAATCTATTTACACTTATTTTTCTTAAGCTACATGATGAAACTATATTTTCTTTTGATCAACATAAAATACAATTAAAATGTAAAAATCGTCTTTCTCTTCCACTATTTTTTGGGTCCCACAGTTGATAAAAAGATTCAAATTTTGTCGACTCATTTTTCGAACAATTTGTTTATTTTGGATTGTTTGTTTAGGTGACTTATTGTATGGACTGGATGAACTTAGCGAGACAGATAGGTAAACTTTTGTAAAATTATACAGGGGGGAAATATTTTTAAAAAACATTTGAATCCGCTACGTTCTGCTGAAAATGCTATAATGTTAATTGTTAATTGGTTCAGGTTTTTTCAAATATTTTATAAAACTTTCAAGATTCCAAAACTGTTTTCTGTTTAAGTTAGTTTTATCCAAGGATTAAATGCAAGGAAAGTTATTTCAGAGGTGTACGCATCTTTTGTACTGCAGTGTACTGTCTCTGGACGGTAATGTAAACACATGACGGATGTCGAAGCCTGACATGGGATCCATCTTTCACATAAATAATCGATGAAATATTCTGGACATAGCTAGGAAACTATTATGTGAATTATCAAAGTTATCAAAATTCAATGCTTTTAACCTCCTCGGATACTAAACGAACACTGAGGCATATATTCTTGTTTACAAATTCCGCTCAGAGAGAACTGGTTTCAATATGTACGCAGAGTATACGCAACTGCAATTAACTTTCCTTGCATTACATTCTTGGTTTTATTAAACTTTGCAATATTATTATTCTAAAAACGATTCTTAGGATCCGTTAGTTTTTGTATCGTTTTGTGATCGTTTTTTTTGCATATACAGGGTGTCCTTTCAATCTTGCCAATTTTCAAATTGCTGTAACTTTGTTAATGTTTGGGATTTTTCCGATCTGTGAACAAATTGACTAATCATAATATAAACGTTTTGTTGTATACAATGAAAATTCACAATTCTAATATCAAAAAATCCGCAAACTCAGTTATCTTGGCTTCTTTTGAAAACACCCTATTGGAATACGGCTCAAATGAAAAAAATTGAATCAAAAAATCATTAAAAAAAATTAAATCATAGTAATATAAATTAGAGATCATAAAATCACATGAAATTATTAAAAACTAGCTGAAGTGCCCAGCGTTGCCTGTGGATTTTTTTTTCTTCCAAAATAATTTTTTTTTTCAAAATTAAAAAAAAAATTTAAATTGTTTCTAAAATACCTCGGGCAAGTCGGGCACTTCATGGTATTTATATATAGAAGCGAGGAGCTTTATTAAATAGATCAGAAAATTATAAAACAAATATTTTAGGACTGCTCAAATCAAGAAGTTGAAGAGGCATATCTCAGATCTAATGATAGTTGTGGATAGAGCTGGAAAATACCTCCGACCCGTTCCAACTCTGGCTCCGGTCAATTCCTCTGCTGCCTCTGAAATGAGATTTTTAACAAACATTTACATTGTTTTCTGTTTAATTGTAAACAAATTGTCATTCACTTTTTAATTTTTTCGAAAAATTGCGATTTGTTTTTGAATAAAATTAAACTTGTGTAAAATATTTTAATTATGACTTCAGAGGGGAAAAATGCATTTTTAAGGTTAAAAGCAAAGAAATGCAAAATAAAAAGGAGAAATGAATCATGACTGTAGCAGGACGACTTTAGGGTCTTTGAGCTTTGAAATCCGTTACGGCATTTTTTCTTCTTAAACCTGTATCACGGGACCAGTATACTGCACTTTCATTGGCGGGAATTCTGGTGACGTAATACGGAATTATATCAGTTTTATATCAATTTATGGAGACAGGAACATCAGATATAACTTTCATGGGTCGCGATCAAGAGCTAAAGTGATCAGCTTTCAGCCTATACCCCCTTTCATTTTTCCTTTACAGTCTCTTTAATAAAAAGATTTATATCGTAAATGTTGAGCAGAGTTACCCACTGTAGTTCCAACGGTAAAAATTGACTTCCTCAAATAAATATTTCACATTTAAAAAGGCAGTTTAACTTAATTGAGGGATGGTTTATTTCTCTTTGTTGAGAAATGTTCACACACATGTGTAATCGTGTACTGCAGTACACGATAAGATTCTTTATGTTCTTATAAAAATAAGGAAATGTTCATTTTTCAGAAAGTACGTGTACGTGTAATGTGCATAATGTACTGTTAAATGACCCAGCCTACTACCTTAAAATGGAACCTTTATTTCCATTAATATCATACTTAATGTACAATATATCATTTACTGCAAAAACATACGCTGAACTTCCTTATAGAGAAATAAATCATCCACCAAGGAAGTTTAACTGTTCATGTAACTTTAAGGGTACCTATATTCTCTAGGGAAATAGGGACATGCCCGACTCACAACATTACCCTTCAAAATTCAAATTTGTTCCAAGTTAAAAAACGCAGTCTGAATTTGTGTTCTGTTGAAATTACCGGAGTCGGACAAAAAGGAGTTTGGTTCAGAATTCAAATAACCAAGGTTATAATGCAAGGAAAGTTATTTCAGACGTGTAAGCATCTTTTGTACTGCAGTGTACTGGGTGGTAATGTAAACACAAGACGGATGTCACAGCCTAGCATGGGATTTATCTTTCACATTGAAAATCAATGAAATATTTTGGTCATTGGAAACTATTATGTGAATTATCAAAATTCAATGCTTTTATCCTTCTCGGATACTAGCGAACACTGAGGCATCTATTCTTGTTTACAAATTCCGCCCAGAGAGAACTGGTTTCAATATGTAAGCAGAGTATTCGCAACTGCAATTAACTTTCCTTGCATTATAACCTTTGCAAATAACTAGGTAAATGTAGATTTTAGAAACAATACATATGTTTGTCTTTTGAAGAAAAAACGTTCATTAGCCTAGGGTGGACCCACGCTCCCCCCCTGAGCTCATGGACGGGTGCCGGTCTCCCCCCCCCCTTAGGAAATTCATGATATGAAATGCATAGTTTTGAATAAATGACCGGAACTGAAATACCTTAAGAAATTAATAAACACGTAATCAAAAGGAATTATTAAATTATTAGTAAGCGCTCAAAAAAGCATATATAATCACCAACATCATTACCTTTGATTAGATATGTAAAAATGTTAAAAATGCTAAAATGTTCCTTATTGTTTATTATGGAAAATTCTTTTTAATTGGTAAACATTTTAAATTCCTATTCAAATTATGAATTGGACACCGACTTAAAGTTTTATTTCTTAACTACCGATAAGATACTTATTACTAATGCTTAATCGATCTCAATAAAAATATTTCATTTTATTATGTAAATCTCGAAATGTGATAATAAATGAGAAATTGCAGGAAATTTACTGCTTTTTGTTAAATTTTTAGGGGAGGGCTCGACAAATTTGTTCGCGCTTACGCGCGCAAATATGCCCCCAGTCCCTGAGATATTTAGTCCACCCCTGTAATTAGCTCACACTTGATAGCTTTAAGGTCAATGAATCCAAGTCAGTTTTAACATATTTCAGACAATGTTGAAATATAGCAATATGTTTGAATATGCCCCCAGTCCCTGAGATATTTAGTCCACCCCTGTAATTAGCTCACACTTGATAGCTTTAAGGTCACATGAATCCAAGTCAATTTTAACATATTTCAAACAATGTTGAAATATAGCAATATGTTTGAATATGATTACAGCCTTGCAGGAAATCTACATGATATAACGAACATTGATAAGAAATTTCGCGTCGCGTTATACATGGCATGACTTTATGAATAGAAATATTAGACAAATTTTGAAATTGATTTTTTAGCTTTAAATAGCTAATGTTGAAAACAAATTATTAAAACAATTTGAGGAGAGGGATTGGAATTACCATTCTCATGAAACTTGCATGGATTCAGGGGCCGGAACATTGTAAAAAATATGTTCCCCCGCCCTGGAGCTTTTAGGGGGAACAATGTCCGGGGGCCCCCCGTAGAAAATTGAAGAAAAAAATCTGAAGATTTCGAATAGTTCAAAAATTTGTAGTTTAATAGATTATTTAATAGATTCAGTAGATTATTTCAATATATAACCTGTTTGATAAGTACAATTGAAGTATTTGTCAAGCTAAAAATTGTCATTATCGTTATTAGTTGGAATTCGGAACCTTCAAAAATGCCTCTATCAAATCAAATGCAATTGGCATTAAAATTTTTAATATGTTTAACCTTTTTATTCCAAGTAATGTTTACTTTTCTTATTTCAAATAAATGAAAGTTAATTTAATTCTTGAATGTTATACCTGAAGAATGAAATGAAAAATAAAATTACCTTTTCTACTTAAGTCTTAACTGTAACGATAACCAAGCAATTATCAGGGATTTTTTAATGGAACGTTTTTTATGTATGATAATTTTGTTTATGTTTCTTACGTTAATTTACAATTCACTGTGTGGGGGGGGGGCAAGAAGATTTTAACCTAGGGGTCTGCATGTTGTTTCAAAAATAGCTAATTTTCTTAAAAATTTGAACAAAAAAATATGCCTCCACAGTAAATTTCTTTTTAAACCTACTCACATTCCTAAAGCAAACTAAATTCACTGTAACATTTTTCAATATAAGCTTAGACTTTTTTATTTTCGCCCCCTTTCTTTAAAAAATGCCCCCAAATTGGATTTTTAAAATTACACTCACACATTCTTATTCAAATTGCCCCACCAGACTTTGATTGGCCACTTTGTAACCCTTAGTTATTAAGAATGCCAAAAATATTTTTAATGTGCACCTAAATTAAATTTCTTATCCCCAAATGTTTTATGAATACATCCAACTTTAAAATTTACAGCCCTATCTAAAAAAATGCCTCAACTTTTTTAAGATTGTACTCCAAAATCAAGAAGTTTTGCACCCAACAAAAAAATAACCCTTAGATTAAAAAAAAGCTATACACAAAATTACCAAAACTGAGAAAAGCCCCCCAAAAATAGAATTTGCCCTTAAAACAAAGATTTAAGATTTCCCCCAACAACAAAAATTTCCCCCAGAAAACAAAATTTGCCCCTGAAATATAAATTTTAAATTTTTTCCCACAGAAATTTGCCCCAAACTGAAAAGAATGCCCTCAAATATAAAAATTTGCCCCAAAAATATTCTGAATTGGAAAGGTAGGTTTTCCATGGTTGAGAATAATGCACATTTTTCCTGCCCCCCCGAAATGTTAAAGGGGGGGAAATCTTGCACTTCCCCCCCCCCTGCTGAATGACTAGTTGCAAGCCTAGTTCTATAAATTTTTAAATTCAACCATGTTCAATAGTAGGAAAAGAGAATTGGGATGTATTATACTGGAAAGTGGAAATGGGGTAATCAAATCTGAAGTTACCGTTAGGCTAAAGTGCATAATCGGAATTTCGAATTTTCTTGTTTAAATCTTGACTGTTTTTTTACCAACCACATGGTGAAACAATGAAATATATTTTGACCTTTCACACTTGTATGAAATATTTTATTATTAAGTTTTTTTTTGCAGATTTAACAACAAAGATATCAAGTTTTAGTAACAAAGTATAAAGAATTTTGTCCTTTGAATTAGCCATTTTAATGTAAGGTGAATTATTTGAAATTAGACAATTTGAAATTTCTCTTTTTAAGATTCATACATGCATATTGCATACATTGTAAAAGTGGTGTAACGACACCTATTAATATATATATGACGTAGTAATATCATTTTGTCTGTAAACCGATTTGCCTCAAGATTTGATATGGGAACTCGGTAGAACGACTGTTCTTAGCTTGGTTTAAAAATTGGGTATAGGTTTATTTTTTATACAAAAAACTTATTTCCATGCAAAGCCGGTTTTCCATGGCAATATGTCAAATAGTTACATTGCAAGCATGTTGATATACAATATACATGTTCACATATAATTAATTTAAAAGTTTTTTAAACCTAAAGATTTAACAAAAATCAGTCAATTCTTATTTCTTATTTGTTCAAAAAATATAAGTTTACAAACTCTAGTTCTCCCACTTTCTTTCTGTAAACTTTAGTTCGATCCTACTTTCTATCTGTAAACTCCAGTTCTCCTATTTTCTATCTGTAAACTACAGTTCTCCTACTTTCTATCTGTAAACTCCAGTTCTCCTACTTTCTATCTGTAAACTCCAGTTCTCCTACTTTCTATCTGTAAACTCCAGTTCTCCTACTTTCTAT